GAGCCCGATGTGGGACTCGATCCCAGGACCCTGGGATCATGACCTGAGCCGAAGGCAGACGCTTAACGACTGAGCCACCCAGGCGCCCTAAATAAATAAAATCTTTTAAAAAAAAAATTAAAAAAAAACAACAAACTTGTTATAAATTCATTCATTCATTCATTCATTCGTTCACTCATTCATTCAAATAAAAACAAACTTCTTGCCCACATGAGCCCAAGAAAGACTTTGATTTTCATCTTGGGGCCAGAACAACACACAACACATCTTCCCTAACTGTGAGAGAGGCTGGGAAGTTGAGTACTCAGCATTTTTCACTCAGCAGTAGAGGAAGCCAGGGGAAGGGCTAGTTGAGAATCAGTACTGACCACGCCACCTCCACACCAGAAATGGACGTCTGAGAACCTTCTCTGTTCCTTCTTTTGTACCAGTTAGAAAATGAGACTAGCCAGGTCTGCTGGGGTACAAAGGATACAAAGCTCCTCTGGCTTTTCTCAAGCTTTATCCTACTACCAAGTGAAATACCAGAAAGCGTCATCTAATACAATATTGTTTGGACTGAAAATTCCATTTGTTCAAGGCTTTCAGTTTGGGTTAAATTAATCTGTCTGCCTACTTATCAGCTGTGCCCAGGTGAACACTGTAGGTTAAGTATGCCTTCAAAGGGGGTTACTTAACGCAATTCTTCTCCTAAGGGGGTGCTGCATTAGCAAAACCTAGTTCAAGGCTGCCCAGTGCTGCCCTCTGAGGATTAACACAAGGTTGACCTTATTTGTACCACAAAGAGTGTTACGAAACGCTGATTTAAAGTTAAAAAAAATTAAAAACACAACAATGACAGAGTGGAAAGAACAGTGGGCTAGGAATCAGAAGAGCTGGGCCTGGGGTCAAGTTCTGCCACTTGTCACCCATGTATGCTTTCCTTCAACAAGTCACTGAATCCGTGTATCTGGCACTGGGCTAAGTAAGGAGGAGGGGGGCGTGTGAAGATGCCAAATAAACAAGATCATCTCTGTCCTCAAAAAGATGATCTTTTAGGGGCGCCTGGGTGGCTCAGTCATTAAGCGTCTGCCTTCAGCTCAGGTCATGATCCCAGAGTCCTAGGATCGAGCCCCGCATCGGGCTCCCCGCCAAGGAGAGCCCCTCTCCCTCTCCCCCTGCTGTGTTTCTGCTCTTGCTATCTCTCTCTCTCTCTCTGTCAAATAAATAAATAAATAAATAAAATCTTTAAAAAAAAAAAAAGATGATCTTTTATTGAGTAAGCCCTTAATCTTGTATATCCTCAGCTTCATCACCTACAACTCAGACATCACCATTCTCAAAGTGTTATTAGGAAATAGGGCAGGATAGTTTAACCTCAGTGCCCTTGATGTTTTGGGCCAGATAATGCCTTGTTGTGGGGGGCTTTTCTGTTCATTGCAGGATATTTAGTGGTATCCCTGGCTTCTACTCCCTAGATTCCAATAGCTCCCTGCCACCCCTCCCACTCCCCCGATAACAACCCAATGTCCCCTGGGACCCATCACCCCCAGTTGAGAACCTCTGAAATAGGGTGACATATATGAAAGCATTTTAAAAAGCATAAAGCCCCAAATCAAGTCAGCATTAATGTACATCTATTTGTAAGACTACTTGTCAAAAAAAAAATTTCCTTTAAAGTATTTACAGTTTCCTTAGGAATGTTTTATTTTCTAGTTTTATATATTTTGCCTACATTAAAAGCCCTCCAGGGCTTTTTGGCTAATTTTCTTTACCCAAACAAAGCATCCTCATTAGAACATAGTTTTTAAATGTATCACTGTACTAACATGACAGTCAGAGTCAAACATAATTGCCATCTCTACAAAGCAGAAATTTTATCCAAAATCAAAGTACTCAGTGCCTACCTTTTAAGGTCAAGGGACTGGATCTTGTGAATTCTGTATTTGATGGCCTGTGCTGTTTACGAACTTCCAAGTACTCCTTAACTCTTGAATCAATGGTTTCTTTTAACAGTAAACAGACTTCCTAAAGTAAATTGAAAAATGAGATATAATTTTCTCATGTAATGCAATGCAAAAAGAGTCAACATTGTGCATATTAAAAAGTCAACACTGAACATTTTATTTTGTTTGCTTTTTTACTTAGCTGTGAAAGCTGAAAAAAAAATGCTATCTGTGCTCGAGGGTAACAACGTGCCAGGTTTAAGTTTGCTACTGAGGTTTGTTCAAAACCATGATGTTGGCTTACTCTGTGACCCGAGAAATTCATTTCATTTCCCTCTGCCTCAGTTTCACATTTCTAAAAGGAAGATAAAAAGAGTGAAGTGCCCCGTGTGGCCAAGCAAGACTGGGGATGGCAGTCCCCTCCCCCCAGTGGTTTCAGGGGACTGTTGTCATGTGTAGGGATACCAGGGACAGGGTCATCAGCTCTTCAGATTTGTTTAAGAGGAGCCAGCCACAGTGATTTTTATGTGAATATTTCCCATTTTTATGCGAATATTTCCCATTTTTCAAACTTGGTTCAAAACCCTTTTTTTTTTTTTAAAGATTTTATTTATTTATTTGAGAGAGAGAGCATGAATGGGGTGAGCGGCAGGGGAAGGAGCAGGCTCTCTGCTAAGCAGGGAGCCTGATACAGGGCTCGATCCCAGGACCCCAGGATCATGACCTGAGCAGAAGGCAGCCGCTTTAGGGACTCAGCCACCCAGGCACCGCCCCCCAAAACAAACAAACAAACAAATAAAAACCCTTTTTTAACCTAAACATCACAATTCACTAGTTTCTGGACTTAGGTTTAGAAATCTACTGAAGAAAGAACAGCACTGAGTGATGGGCTGAAGAAAGAACTGGAAACCAGTAATGTGATTTTCTTCCACGCTCTTCTCAATGATACTGTACATGCCCATTTGCTTTTGTGAAAACTGCACTATATCCACCAATTAATGGTGAAAATAATTTAACTTCTCATATTTCCCTAAAGTAGATTAATATTAGGCAACAGAAACACATGGTTTTAATTCAATGTCAACATACCACACCACTAGCAAATTTCTGGAGTTGTCTATTGTTTTATTTATCAGTGTTACTTATGAAAAGAAAAACAAAACTCTCAAAGTCCACCACACAACAGGAAGAAACTGTCCACTAGAGACATGTAGCCATTGCAGGGAAAGGGAAAAATGGCCCACAAATCTAAATTTCTTAATTTAGATTAAGAAACTGGTGTGTAAGGACTGATAATTCTGGTCCAAGTCCCAGCCTCTGCAGAAGTCTCGGAGTTGCCGAGGTCAACTCAAACCTGTTTCACTGGTTTCTTCAATGCCATCTCAGGTTGATCTCTTAGAATCTTCATAAATTAAAACAAGAACAAAATTCTAAATAGCTCTGAAGGGCAATGACTGCCAAACTTGTTTTTTATTGCTAATACATACAGTCCTCAACAGTACTGAAAATCCTTGATTTAATTCACAAACGTGATCTACATAAAATGTAAACACTGGTCTCCTCTCTCTGCTCTCATTTTGCAGCCCAAAGATGCAGTGCCTTGTGGAATACAGAGATATCCGTTTACAGTTGAGCGTTTTGGCATTGTTCACACAACAGAAAGGCAGCCTTGCCTCATACTGTTGTTTTAACAATTAAAGAATTTTGCTTCACATGCAGGGTTCAACTATGACTGAGCTAGAAAATATGTGAAAGACATACATGGAAACAGAGATTGTTAAAATTCGGCCATAAATGCCCTATAAGGCTAGAACTAAAAATAGTATGACAAAAATAAAACAAAGGCCCACACAACGCAAACTTTCTCCCTATAGTTACGGGGCTTTCCTTCCATGAGTCAGGTTTGACGAATGGAAGGTAGACCATGTGCAGTGTGGTCAAGATACCCTAGTAACTGACCACACCACACTTAGCGAAGCATTCTCTTCAGAACCAGAGCAATGCAAGAAAAGACAAATTCCCAGCTACACCAGAAGGGCACATAAGAAGACCAAGATGAAATCGAAGACCAAGAGGACAGAGATATATACAGTATTTCTAGGCTAACAGGGGCTCACACTTGCTTCCTCAAGTTCACAAATGAAACAGTTCAAGTTTGCCTGCTTGGGTACAAAGACTACTCGTGCTGGACTCAAAATAAACTTGGGTTTAATACATGCAATTAGTTCCTTTTTCTGAAAAGGAAATGGACATTCTTAAGACTTTCACTATATTAAAACATCTGCTAAAATGCAATCAAATTGATTGCTCATGAAATCCCAATCATAAAATGATCTAATAATAAAAAAGATGAAGCACTGAGACACTGAATACAGACTTGAATCATATCCTTTCCTTGACTTTTCTCCTTTCTCCGTCTCTCTCTCTCTCAGCAATTTTAATGTCAGTGAACAAACTTTAAAGGAACAACTTCGAGTATAAGCAGCAAACCATCCGCTTTGCTTTGAGAGGGAAGCTTGGCTTGCTGGCATAACCTGCCTTCTTGCAGCCAACGCTGCAGCCAAGCTCTGCAGGTCCAATCGTGCACTGAGCACCTTTGCTAAGTCATGCCTTGCTGCCCGGACGTAGTACTAGGTGGGGCAGCAACAGCTGTGTGTGGCACCCTGGAAAAATCTAGCCTCATGCTTTGCCTAGAAGGTGATTCACACATTCATAGCTTTATTTTAAAGCCTTCCAAAGCAACTGACTCTTGGCAAAACTGACTACATATCAACAAGAAAGGGCGAAGGCTGAGGTGGTAAAGCTGGGAGAGAATGGAGGAAAAGGTGGGCCCAAAACAGTGGATTCTAGAATGCTGTTAATGTCAGTCAAGTCAGAAGACTTTTGGGGTGAGGTCCCCTCAGGTGAGCATTAGTCACTTTGGGGAAACAGAGTGTGGGTAAGCCAAATTTGGAATTCCATGGAGTTGAGTTATAGTAGGAGATGCTGGCTTACTAAATATTAAGTCCTGAAGAGGACAATCCATTTATTAACCTGAACAATAAATCTCATTATTCCGAATCTTGTGCCTCCCTTCTCCCAGCCATGGGCTACTAGATCTCAAGTACAATATTGCCCAGCCAAGTCCTGATTGTATTAGTACCTGGTGATTGAAAATGTATTACTTATAAATTTTCTTGGAGGGAGTTTTTGTTTTCTAGTAGTCTTCAAAAGTTGACTAAAAACAATCACCACAGTAAAGGTGTTTTTTGTTTTTTTTTTTTTGCTTTGTTTTGTTGCCACTATCACTAGATTCTTCTCCACATACTACCTTTCAATAAAAACTTATTTTTTATTTCTAGCTCTAAAAAGCTATTGTGATGAGTATCACGGAGGACACAAAGTGCTATAATATTCTGAAAGTTATGTGAAAGCCACTGCCTCACTATCGCTCTCCCTGCTCTCTAGTAAGAGGACATGGAGAAGGAAGCAGAGCACATGAGGAGAGCCAGATGCACTCTCGAACCTTCTGCCACAGCAGCACTGGGGTGGGATCTCGGGGAAGCTGAGAGCCAGCAGTGACTCAGAGGCCTCTGGTTGAACTCTTTCATTTGCAGATAAGGAGACTGAGGCCCAGGGAGATCAAACACCAGCCTCCCAGCCACATGACCATTCAGCCATCCTCCCTCCCTGACTGGCCTCAGTGAGAAGGAATACAGTCAAATATCTCCACACTTGCTGTCAAAGACTCGTGTTAAGAAAAGTATGGTACAAGGGGGGCCTGGGTGGCTCAGTCATTAAGCGTCTGCCTTTGGCTCAGGTCATGATCCCAGGGTCCTGGGATCGAGCCCACATCAGGCTCCCTGCTCCACGGGAAGCCTGCTTCTCCCTCTCCCACTCCCCCTGTTTGTGTTCCCTCTCTCACTGTGTCTCTCTCTGTCAAATAAATAAATAAAATCTTAAAAAAAAAAAAGTATGGTAGAAGACAAAAGAGTGGACGATGATAATTTAAGAATTAAATAAGAATTTGATTTCAAGGTGTGAAAGATCAGAATTGTGTTCACCCCACACCTGCTTCAGGGTCTTGGTCTGTCCTTTACAAACAGTTAGATTAAAATCCCTGCTTGCCTAGAACCCTCACTTGACCATCGTCTTCTGTTTTAACTATAATGAGCCCTTTCCCCCAAAACAAAGAGGTTGAAAATTTCTGGTTTAAATAATTTAGCTTATGAAATATATAGATGTGTCACTTTCTCAGGGAAAAAGAAGCAAGTATATGTCTGTCATTGGAATATAACAACTGTTTCTCAAGGGTTAAATATAATTCAATATTTTTTGCCCACTAACAAAAATGAAAGCTGGAAAGAGTTAATATTTCTTCTAGCAGCAGCAACTTGCATTTAAACAGTGAAAAGTTTTGTGGTACCTCTTTCTTCTGTTCAGAAAACCAGCTGTTATCTTTGTTTGAACCTTGTGGCAGTATGTGAAGATCCACCAGGACAGCAAAATTCCCACACTAAAAAGACATTAATGGCAGAGTTAGCTCACACCCAGCAAACAATCAGAGAAAAATCTCACAAATTCCTATGTGGTTGCTCATGATGAAATGGCAACAAAGTTCCCTAGTGGACAGAAACCTTCATATGGGGCAGGGATTACACGTCCTAAACCTACTAGTTTTTGCAAGTTTAATATTTAGGGTAGAAATGCTAAGGAGAAATATAATTTTAGTCATGACAGTAAAGACAAAATATCTATCTCTGGGCCACGCCTTGAAAGGGGATTGCTCAAGACATCCAGTGGCAGTTGGACGACTATCAGACATAGAAAGAAGTCAAATAGGCTAGTCCTGGGTAGGCTCCAGAAGAGAAGGGTTCCGTGGATAGTCAGGGCAAATCTTTCTTCTAAGTAGGAAAGAAAAGATATAAGCTACTGCATTTTTAGACAGACAAAAGGAATGGCTGGGACAGCACATCTTAGAACAGAAATGGAAATGAGGACAAACGAAAAAGAACCAAGGAGAGGAAGGTAGATGCTGAATGACAGTTATCAAAACTAAATTAGTTTCATTAAAATATGCTATAAAACTGTCCAAATCCTGCTTCCTGTCACCGTACAAGCGGGTAGCCAATAACCATGTGTGGCTACTGAGCACAAGAAATGTGGCTACTATGACTGAGAAGCTGAATTTTAAACTGTATTTAACTTTAATTTAAACAGCCATATGTGGCTAGCCACTCTGTGGCACAGCTATAGACCCTGTAAAATGTAGCCTCATAAATACTCACACCTTATGAGTAATTTCTGAAAATCTCTAACTGTGGATGAGCTAACTCAGAAAGGAATGGATGACCAAGACTGCAGGTTGGGGATGGTCTCCGAGGCCCAAAGGGTCACTGATGGCCTGTAGGAAAATGTCACTTCTGCACCTCTTTGGCTAAATAGTTTTTTTTCCTTTTTAAATCCTGTGCTATAATTCAATGGTGAAAGGAAAGTATTTTCAACTAATGACCTGAGAATACCAAACATAAATACGGGAAGAAAATAAAACATGACATTGACATCATACCACACACAAAAATTAATTTGAGATGGATGATAGACCTCCACATAAAAACCAAAACTGTCTTGCCAAACAATAGAAAAAAATTTCTTAGAACCCACAAAGCACAAAATACAGAGGAAAAATATTATTAAATTGAACTCTGTCAAAATTGAAAACCTTTGCTCATTAACAAAATGAATATGTATGTCACAGGCTGAGAGAAAATATTCATAAATGCACGTATCTGACATAAAGGACTGGCATCCAAAATAAAGAACTCCTACAAGTCGATATTAAGAAAACAAACAACTCAAGCTTGAATAGATACTTCACAAGATAAACAAACAGCTAATAACACATGAAAAAGTATTCAACATCAGTCATCAGACAAATGCAAATTAAAACCACTAAGAGATACAACCCTGTACCTCAGAATGACTAAAATTAAAAAGACTGACACACCGTATGTTGGTAAGGATGTGAAGCAACCCAAACTCTCATACATTGCTAGTGGAAATGTAAGATGGTTCGACCACGTTGGCAAACAGTTGGTCAGTTTCCTACAGTTAAACATACATTTCTAGCCAACAATTCCACTTTAGGTATTTACCAAGAGAGAGAAAAACATGTGACAGAAAGACTTGTACACAAATGTTCGTCGAAGTTTTATTTGTAATAGCTAAGACAGAAAACAACCCAAGTCATCAACAGGAGAATAAACAAAGTGTGGTACATTCATTCAGTGGAATGCTCCTCACAAAACTACTGATACACTCAACATGGACTGATCTCCACCTTATGTTGAGCAAAAGAAGCCAGGCTAAAAGAATACCTATTGTATGATTCCACTAATATAAAGTTCTAGAGCAGCAAAACTAATCTGGGGTCAAAGCAATCAGATAGTGGGCCGCCTGGGTGGCTCAGGCGGTTAAGCATCCACCTTCGGCTCAGGTCATGATCCCAGGGTCCTGGGATTGAGCCCCACATCAGGCTCCCTGCTCAGCTGGGAGCCTTCTTCTCCCTCTCCCTCTGCCTGCCACTCCCCTTGCTTGTGCTCGCGCTCTCTCTCTCTCTCTCTGTCAAATAAATAACTAAAAAATCTTAAAAAAAAAAAAAAAGGCAATCAGATAGTGATTATCTAGGGAGCAACTGAGAGAATAGGCACAGAAGAACTTGGTGTGGTGATGGGAATGTTCTGTATCTTGGTGGGTTATATGCTAAAGATCAGTTCATTTCAGCATATATAAATTACACATCACTAATAATTTTTTTAAAGCTGTGTAAAAGCACATTTATATGTACTGACAGTTATATAAAATGTATTATGTCCCTGAAAACATATGGGTATTTCGGGGAAGACCAAAGTGAAGTTCATCAGGTAAAAAATCATGAAGTATGTTGAAAGAGAATCTCCTACGATGTCAAACAGTAGAGTGTAACCCACTGAACTGCAGTATACTCTGTTATGACCAGTATTATATTTTAAAGAAAGAGAATCAAAGGGAATATATGAATAGAATAAGAAATACCAGTATGTCACATGGTAAGGTCAAGTCTTGTTTTGTGAAACTTATGTATAAGTATAATGACTTATGATGTAAAGCCTCTTACTGTGGATTTGTGATCAAAACTGTTTGAAAACCATACTCAAGTATACTGTTACTCTAAAAGTTTCTTCACAATGCTGATTATAGATTTAACCTTTAAGGAGTATGCTGCCACCAGGTGGAGGTCACATGCCACAACTACATGATCTTAGCCAGGGGTTATTAACCTTTTGTGTGCCATGGACCTCTTTGGGCAGCTGTGAAGCTGATGACATTGGCTAAGAATAAGGTTTTTAAATGCACAAAACACAATGCATAGGACTAAAAAAACAAAACAAAACAAAAAAGATTTGACTGAAGCATGATTATCCAAATTAAAAAAATTTTGTATGTGATTTAGTAATTATGTACTTGTTTATTAAGGCACTGGCTCTTCTCACATAGTGGTAGATCTAATAACTACCATAAATACAAAGTAGTGGTAAGCATAAATGATATCTTCAGATATGTGCCACAATTATAACATGAAAAGAGATATGATTCTAATGGTGACATCTACTGCGAATACTACGGTGTTTTAAATACTTAACTTAGAGGGCACCTAGGTGGCTCAGTCAGTTAAGTGCCCAACTCTTGGTCATGATCTCAGGGTTGTGAGATCGAGCCCTGACACTCAGCACAGTCTGCTTGAGATTCTCTCTCTCCCTCTCCTGCCTCTCCCCCAGCTTTGCACACGCATGCACACACATGCTCTATAAAATAAATAAATACTTAACTTATAATAAAAAATAAATTGATTAGAATTTGGTTAAAATAAAGATGTAATTTTGTTCCCATCCAAGTTCACTGACCCTCTGAATTCTGCCACAGACCTGTTGAGGCTCCATAGATGGCAGAACAAGAGCCTCTCCAAAGCAATAGGATGTGCCTTACGCACATCTTACTGGGTTTCCTGCAAGTGTTTAATCCTGACTCCTCAAACCAAGTTCTCTACAACCTCCTCTCTATTAGCAAAAATATCTTTTAAAATTAAAAAAAAAAAGTGATGCATTCAACAATCTGAATCAATAGTATATAATAGTAGCTTTCTACAGAATTAAATAGCAAGGTCCAATTTCGTACTTTCCCATCATTTCATAACTTTGATCACAAATAACCCAGTGTAAGTTTGATGATAAACAGACTGATTAGAATGCCTTTTTTTTTTTTTTTTTAAATAAATCACGGAATCTTACTCTGGTGTTCAAACTTTCCTGGATTTCAGCCAGACCCCACCACCGGGCATGCACGCGGTGCCCCCCCCACCTCCCCCGGCCAAAAGCAGGCTTCTCCCTCTGCAGCCAGCAGTTCTGAGTTCTCCAGCAAGAGCTCTCTCAAACTCCCACACTAAGCAGCAGGACTGTGCCTTTCTAAAGTCCCCTGCTCTCAAAGCTTTGCTGCTTTGCTCCCATGAGTAAACAGACGTTGGGCGGGGGGTTCTCTTACTGCTGCCAGGAGCACAGCCTTCGCTTCTCCTTAATTAGGAGGTAATTTCATCTCTCAGCAGATAAACTGTCCAGCTCTCTTCAGAAAGGAGGAACACACTAACCATCACTTCTTTCTTAGGCCTGAGCTGCTCATTTTACACAAGCCAAGTTATCTCTAACAGACCAAAGGCTACTAAAAGAAGCTTCACATCCCATGCCCTGGGTTGTGAGTCAACAGGCCAGGGTCTGATCCAGCTTCTAACCCCCTCCACCCAGAGGTTTCAGCCAAAAGCCTGGGAGTCAACCCTAACTCCTCCCTTTCCCTAGCCCTCCACCATCAGTCACCAAGTCTTGTGGATTTTACTTCTTAAAGAGCTAACCGCCCCCCCACCTCCACCCTGTCTCTTGTTCTGCAGCTCCTATCATCTCCCACTTGGAATATTAGGGCTGCTTCTCTTGGTGTCTCATGAACTCTCAATGCCCCCAGCAGAGCAATCTCTAACATACGTGCTTCTTCTGCCCTCTGCTTCTAATGCACCTCAATGTGTTTAGTGAACATTTATGCATCCTTGAACCCTAGCAAGGGCATGGACATCTCTGTGGAGCTTTTCTGAATAGTCTATCACTTCCTCCTCTGGATCAGGCATATGCTTCACATGCTTATTTATTCCTGCACTAAACAGCTGGTCTATGTAGGGGCCACCCCTGCTAGGCTGTTAGCTCCTTGGTATAGACAGACAGGGTCCCAATCTCATTTGACTCTATGCTGAAGCAATCAGCACAGGACCAGCTCATAATAAGTGCTTAATAGTGTGTGTGTGTGTGTGTGTGTGTGTGTGTGTGTGTGTGTGTGTGTGTAGACAGCTTTAATCTTCAGTGAGACCATCCTGGCCCTGCCCTCCAGCATCCAGGCCACCACTGCTCTGCCTGGAGAGTCTTTCTCAAGGGGAAGGAAACAGAGCAAGTGCTTAATATTTAATAGAAGGGAATGAGTGAACAAAGACAAGATAAATGGGCTCTGAATTTTGGGCAAACCACAGGCTTATCTGCTAAGTGAGGGCACTGAGCCCATTCTGGGGACAAGGCTGTTCCAATTCAGCCCAGGACACTGATGCATTATAGAACAACTTCCTCCCTCCTTATTCTAGAGTGGCAACAACTACACCGTCACCAGTGGCAATCAGTCATTTTCTATAGTTTGAAAAAAGGGAATAATACAAGGACCCTACAATTACTTTGCCCTAAACTCACCGCCAGGGGTGGAAGGTCTTATTTTCTAATTTTACCCTAAGTGTAAAATAAAGGTAGAAATGCTAACACTTCTCACACATGTAGGTATCTCAGAAGGAGGCTCAGAACGGCGAGATCTGTGTATTCTCTCTCTCTCTCTCATTCACTCATTCCTTCAACACGCACTGAGTTTCATAGGGGCAGTGGCCAGAACTTGAGGCAGCAACAGCACTGTGGTAAGTGTAACCACAGCATACACCAAGGACCAGAGGTGGCCAGGCCGCAACTCTGCTCTAGGGAGGCCAGGGCTGAAGGGTATGACCTCTCAGCTAAGTCCTGAGGAAGAGGGCAAGAGGCAGAGAAAGAAAAACAAACAGCACCCACATAGGAAAGAGGCTTGAATAGCTTGCATGCTCAGGGGACAAGAGTCCAGTAAGCAGAAAGAGGACAACATCAGCAGATGAGGCCAACAGGGTAGGAGGGTTCCACTGGGCAGGCCTAAGGGAAACAAGACCTGTAGGCTGGAGAGCTCTCTCAGGTAAGGAGTGTGGTGTGTGCGCTGGTGGGGAGAAATCATGGAACCATGCGGACAGGTTTAAAGTCACCCCAAAAACCCAAATAAGAGACAATGGAAGGTGATGGGTGAAGACAAAGGGGTAGATATGAGAGAAACTCAAAAAAGAAAGAGGATGTGGTTGGGTGTAGGAGAAGGAAGAGCAAAGACGATGCTCTAGGCATGTGAGTAGTGTCAACCATGCCCATGGGGCTGTCCACAGGCAACTCATCCAGATGGGTCTGTTCTGTCACTGGCATTTTATCCTCACCTGTCATCAAGGATTTAAGGCAGGTTGGATTAACAAGGCAAAGACTAAAAATAGAGGAAATAAGAAAAACAAGGGTAGAAACATAAAACGAAACCAATGGTAGGTCTGTCCAACATTCCCACCATGGTCATAAGTCTCTGCAGCACTTGGCTCTGAGTTTGCTAGTTTCCAATGTAAAAAAAGAAAAGCCAATCAGAGTCCATAAGATGAGAATGAATCAGTACTGAAGATAACTCGATCATTCCTAAATATTAAATCTAGAAAGATACTTCTCCTGAAGGTTTTCATGAAAAAACAAAAACAAAAAAACAACACGTCAATTCTCTTCCTGGAGTATCAGCTTTACTAAAAGGCTTTAAGGAACATATTAAATATTTTCATATCAAAATAAACTGCAGTATGTTACAACATGGAATTAAAAAGTCATGTGGTTTTGAAAGAAAAAGCACAGTTTACAGAGCACCTATGTTCTAGGCCTTGTACTACGCTTTACCTATAGTATTCAATTTAATCCTCACCACTAGCCTATGAAAGAACACAAATGTTACTCACATTTTATAGATAAGGAAGGAATCTGAGAAGGTAAGGACTGGTCCAGTATGACATAGTAAGTGACAGATCAGGAATCAAATCCAAATCTCTTAAGACTCCGTGTGTGTGTGTGTGTGTGCTGGTCCAGTATGACATAGTAAGTGACAGATCAGGAATCAAATCCAAATCTCTTAAGACTCCAAAGCCCACCGCCATGCACTACTTCGAAGGACTTGCTTCCAGAACCCATGTGGAGGCACATTCAAGCCTGCCTAGCCTGGACCCACCCCACTGTACCTATTCCCTCTAGGGTGAGCGTTGGCAGCCGCGTCTATCCATTAGTGCCACAGGACTGAACCAAGGATGCTGCATAGAGTCACTAAGCTTCCTTCCCTGAGCAGAGTGATTCACTCCATCCTGGAAGCGAGGCACTAAAAGAGTTCAGATGCTGAAGCTGCTGGTGTGGGATGCCCTCTTAGATAAGAGAGCAGGGTAGTGGCAAAGCCCCACTGCAGAAGGAGTGGGGCGGGAGGGCTAGTTCGGTAGAAGGCAGGAGGAAAGGGGAAAGTAAAGAATGCAGCAGAGCATTAGGGCAGTAAATCACACTGAAGGTGGGGTGGGGGTTGGGGAGCAGGAACAGTGATCCCCGGACAGTAACAATCCTTACCCGGAGTTAAAGCAGAAGAAAAGTCAACACAAATCTTTTGTCAATTTAACCCCCTTGGCCTGCTCCTTATTACAATACTCGCCCAAGGAATCCAAGCTTGGAGTTTACATTCAAGAAAAGCAAGCAGCATACCTTTAGGATGGCATATACGATAAACCAGCACAGTTAGGGGGAAGGAGAGAATAAAGAGTCATTCCATTGGAATACACTGTTTCCTTAATCTAATTGCAGAAACTCAAGGGTGAACAAACTGGCAATAACAAGAGTTAAGATTCATTGAGCATTGATTGTGTGCCAGATACCGTGTGAAGCCCTTTCTGTACCTTATTGCATTTGACTCTCAGGACAACCCAGAGAGTCATAAACAATTACCAGTCAGTGTTCTGGAAACACCGAGAAACTGAAGAGCTCTGCTCTCTCTCACTTGTCGAAGATCCCCGGTGATCATGGCTAGGTTTTATTTGGTGTGGTGCCTTGCCAACCTGGCAATACCTGGCAGGCCAGGTAGAAGGAACATTATAATCTTAGTAACAGAATGAGACACAGCCCGAATTCAAGATCACAGCATACAGAAAAGGCCTGGAGAAAGCCCTCTGACGACAAACAGGAGAAGGGCCTCGCGCATTAAGTCCGAGGCCACGAATCTCTTCTGATGATGCCCCAGTGCCTTCCACTTTAAGATCCCACCTCCTGGTGGTGTTTCCGTTTACCACCATTGTTTGGATTCTATTTGCACACGTTTGCCCCGATGCAAAGGTTACGAAAGAGCCACACTGAGTCTGGTGCATTGTCTCGTCCTGAATCAGTTCAGTTCGCTACAAGCCACGCCAGCGTTAATAGGAAAAATCTTAGCAACCAACAAGTCCTTCCCCTGAGCATTCTCTGACACCTTTCAGGCAGGAATAAGCTTCTGTTTGCTGCCACAGCACTTTATTCATGACTCCGCTGTGGAATCATCATAGGCTGTAAACACGTGGCTGCATACATCCATCCCCCAGGGGCTGCCTGTGGGGAGGGGCTGCTTTCTGTTACCCTTGGGCTCTCACTGCCTCAAACTGGGCCTGACAGTGAGGAGTGCTTGTTAAATGAATTTAAAAAAAAAATACATCAATGATAAAAATTACTTTCATGTCTGCCCTGTTCTCTGTCCAGGAGGGATTACCTCCCTGTTACCTGCACCCTGTCCTCAGAACAAGAAACACCACAGAATCAAACTCACAGCTTACAACTAAGTTGGCTCATTTATGAATAGAATACTGTCACACCAGAAAACAGGCTGTGATGCCCACTCCTCTGTGCCACACAGTTATTTTCCCACCTTCCAATCAAGCAGAACAATCTGTAAGACCCTGGTGGACTGTGTGAATTCAAACCCCGGAACGGGAACATGTGTGGGGGCTTCGTTGGTTGCAAACAGATGACTAGTCCTTTGAGCTCAAGTTTTACTGGCTGAAGGGGATGCAGGGGAGGAGGTGACTTGTTTCAAGTGAAAAGGAATCAGAAGGGGTAGGAGTTTCTGTCTCCTGTTCGGTGTCTGTTGTGGGACTTCTGGCTACAGGTCAGGGATGTACACCCTTCCAGTCACTTGTTTGTTTTTCTTAACAGATTTATTGTCATGCATGGGGAAAGATTCTACATGGGTGAGAAGCAAGTCACAAAGGAATGAGAAAGAACATGGAGAAGCAAAGCTAATGGGTTTGATGACAAGGAGGTAAAATATAGTAAAAGGCTGATGTCCTTCAGTAAATTGTCTCTGGTCTCCTACTAAGAAAGTTTGGGGGTTTTGGCCTAGAGTGCTCATACAGTGGCTAACAGTCAACCTGGGTAAGATTTGGGAAGGGAAGTAAAGCTCTGCTGGGAATAAAGCAAAGGCCAACTAAAGTGGTACATATTATAAAACAATGCTTAAATTTAACAGATGCCACTGGAACTTTTAAGTAGCATTTGGGGCTGAATCATAGACTCTAAAATCCACTGCGGCAGGAAAAGTGCAGTTAGGAATAAGCCCTCAGCCACTCCTTTTGAAAGATAAGGACTGACTTCATTTCTTGAGACACTTTCCCTGACGATTTTCAAGAAATTATTCTTTCAAATGTAAGTGGCAGGCCACTATTCCTCAGGGGACTGGCCTGTGGTGTGTGCAGAGTGTGTGCAGCAACGAGGAGCACAGTGACTTGGGGGGTAGGCCAGACCTGACTTTAAACCCCTGCCCTGCACCTCAGTTCTCCCAGGCCAGAGGAAGCGCCTGCAAGGGGAAATGGGGACAGCAATGAAAACACCTTATGGTGGTATCTGAACATGAAATGAGGGTATGCAGGTGCAAAGCTTCAGCACGGTGCCAGCCATACAAAGAGCTCAAAGGGTTGTTTTGGGGGTTTCTCCCCCCTCCCAAGGCAGAATTTGCTTCCAATTCCAGGGCATATTAAATGAACTCTGAATTGTCAGTTCCGTAAGATTTACAAACAGGGCACAGGTTTCCACCTATTCCTACTAAGAGCTAATAAATGCCTCATAATTCTTTCATTCAGTTTTACTCTGGCCACACACTGCTTCTTAGAGGAAGAACAGATGGCTTGTAATCACAGCAGATTAAAAATATGAACTCTTCTCTCATATATGTCTGCAACAGAGAACGTGAAATGAAAAGATAACCTGAAAGAAATTATTATGTGCTTGTCTATAGGCAACTTGTCTTGAGAGTCTTAAATGGCTGGAAAGACAAGCAACATTCATAGTTAGCAACACGTAGACCATCAGGAGTGTGTTCAGGACCAACTACGGCCAACCACGTTAGCAATCTGAAAATGGAATTTGATAACAATAGGGGCGTTAGTCCCCACAAATTCCCCTCACAACTTTAACCAGCATATCAAGAAACTTTGGAATGTGGGTTTGATTTTAAACTCCTCAAAAATTAACATCTTAGAAAATATTCTTTCAGGGTACCTGGGTGGCTCAGTTGGTTAAGCGACTGCCTTCGGCTCAGGTCATGATCCTGGAGTCCCGGGATCGAGTCCCGCATCGGGCTCCCTGCTCAGCGGTGAGTCTGCTTCTCCCTCTGACCCTCCCCTCTCTCATGCTCTATCTCATTCTCTCTCTCAAATAAATAAATAAAATCTTTAAAAAAAAAAAAAGAAAAGAAAATATTCTTTCATATCCCTGAAGAATCTTGACATTCTTCAACCTCAAGAAGAATAAAAGCAGTGCAGCCTTTGAGTTAAAGAAATTTGCGACCCATTATAAATGAATCAGAATGAAAAAAGAAAACCTCTGTAAATATTCCTCTAGTGATCAATGCCTAGAATTTGTGGATTGTTCTACAGGGTGGTCAATCTTGGAGGGAAATTTCTTGAAAGAGGAAGGGAGATACAAGATAGATGGCACAATTTTCCAACTTCCTTGGTGTGGGGACAAAGAGTGTTTGATGAATACTGTGGTGAATCTGGGTGACTTAGAGGAATTCTGTTTATTCAGTTAAATGTAAAATAACGTAAGGAATCCTCCACATCCATATGTTTCCTCTGGAATCCTCTCATCTACTTTCAAATATAACAAAAGACTTGCCAGATGAAGCTATGGCATGCACTCTCTGTTCAATCTAGTTGTCATTTAACTTTTTGTGGGGTATTAATATTGTTGATAAAGGGGGCTAAGTTTTCTCTTCTAAACTGGGTCAGGGTAAGTAGTGCTTCCAAAGGCAACTTCAAGAGGCCAAAGATAAGGCTACATGTAACCTTGACAGAAGGGCACAAAGAATACAAGTATATGTCTGCAAACCAAAACACAAGCTCAGAGCAAGGACTTCCTGAGGCCTACAGCACATGAAAAGCTTCCACCTCAGCATGG